AGACAAGAACCAGAGGTATATTGGTACTACAAGACTAGCACCAGAGGTATGTATATTGGTACAACGAGACTAGCACCAGAGGTATATTGGTACTACAAAACCAGCACCAGAGGTATATGGCTACTACAAGACTAACACCAGAGGTATATTGGTACTACAAGACTAGCACCGGAGGTATAATAGTACTACAAGACAAGCACCAGAGCCAGAGGTATATTGGTACTACAAGACAAGCATCAGAGGTATATTGGTACTACGAGATTAGCACCAGAGGTATATTGGGATTACAAGACCAGCACCAGAGGTATATGGCTACTACAAGTCTAGCACCAGAGGTATATTTGTACTACAAGACAAGCACCAGAGCCAGAGGGATATTGGGATTACAAGACCAGCTCCAGAGGTATATGGCTACTACAAGTCTAGCACCAGATGTATATGTGTACTACAAGACTAGCACCAGAGGTATATTTGTACTACAAGACTAGCACCGGAGGTATATTGGTACTACAAGTCTAGCACCAGAGGTATATTGGTACTACAAGACAAGCACCAGAGGTATATTGGTACTACAACACAAGCACCAGAGGTATATTGGTACTACAATACAGGCACCAGAGGTATATTGGTACTACAAGACAAGCACCAAAGGTATATGGTACTACAAGACAAGCACCAGAGGTATATTGGTACTACAAGACTAGCACCAGATGTATATTGGTACTACAACACAAGCACCAGGGGTATATTGGTACTACAAGACAAGCACCAGGGGTATATTGGTACTACAAGACAAGCACCAGATGTATATTGGTACAACAACACAAGCACCAGGGGTATATTGGTACTACAAGACAAGCACCAGATGTATATTGGTACAACAACACAAGCACCAGGGGTATATTGGTACTACAAGACAAGCACCAGGGGTATATTGGTACTACAAGACAAGCACCAGATGTATATTGGTACTACAACACAAGCACCAGGGGTATATTGGTACTACAATACAGGCACCAGAGGTATATTGGTACTACAACACAAGCACCAGGGGTATATTGGTACTACAAGACTAGCACCAGATGTATATTGGTACTACAACACAAACACCAAAGGAATATGTGTACTGCAAGACTAGCACCAGATGTATATGTGTACTACAAGACTAGCACCAGAGGAATATTTGTACTACAAGACTAGCACCGGAGGTATATTGGTACTACAAGACAAGCACCAAAGGTATATGGGACTACAAGACAAGCACCAGAGGTATATTGGTACTACAATACAGGAACCAGAGGTATATTGGTACTACAAGACAAGCACCAAAGGTATATGGGACTACAAGACAAGCACCAGAGGTATATTGGTACTACAATACAAGCACCAGAGGTATATTGGTACTACAAGACTAGCACCGGAGGTATATTGGTACTACAAGTCTAGCACCAGAGGTATATTGGTACTAAAAGACAAGCACCAGAGGTATATTGGTACTACAACACAAGCACCAGAGGTATATTGGTACTACAAGACTAGCACCAGATGTATATTGGTACTACAAGACTAGCACCAGGGGTATATTGGTACTACAGGTATGTATATTGGTACGTATATTGGTACTAAAAGACAAGCACCAGAGGTATATTGGTACTACAACACAAGCACCAGAGGTATAGTGGTACTACAAGACAAGCACCAGAGGTATATTGGTACTACAACACAAGCACCAGAGGTATATTGGTACTACAAGACAAGCACCAGAGGAGTATTGGTACTACAAGACAAGCACCAGAGGTATATTGGTACTACAAGAGAAGCACCAGAGGTATATTGGCACGACAAGACAAGCACCAGAGATATATTGGTACTACAAGACAAGCACCAGAGGTATATTGGTACTACAAGACTAGCACCAGATGTATATTGGTACAACAACACAAGCGCCAGGGGTATATTGGTACTACAAGACAAGCACCAGATGTATATTGGTACTACAAGACAAGCACCAGAGGTATACTGGTATCACAAGACAAGCACCAGAAGTATATTGGTACTACAAGACAAGCACCACTTGTATATTGGTACTACAACACAAGCACCAAGGGTATATTGGTACTACAACACAAGCACCAGATGTATATTGGTACTACAAGACTAGCCCCAGGGGTATATTGGTACTACAGGTATGTATATTGGTACTACAAAACAAGCACCAGAGGTATATCGGTACTACAATGCTAGCACCAGAGGTATATTGGTACTACAAGACAAGCACCAGAGGTATACTGGTATCACAAGACAAGCACCAGAAGTATATTGGTACTACAAGACAAGCACCACTTGTATATTGGTACTACAACACAAGCACCAAGGGTATATTGGTACTACAACACAAGCACCAGATGTATATTGGTACTACAAGACAAGCACCAGAGGTATATTGGTACTAGAACACAAGCACCAGGGGTATATTGGTACTACAAGACAAGCACCAGAGGTATATTGGTACTACAAGATTAGCACCAGAGGTATATTGGGATTACAAGACTAGCACCAGAGGTATATGGCTACTACAAGTCTAGCACCAGAGGTATATTGGTACTACAAGACTAGCACCAGGGGTATATTGGTACTACAAGACTAGCACCAGAGGTATATGGCTACTACAAGTCTAGCACCAGAGGAATATTGGTACTACAAGATTAGCACCAGAGGGATATTGGGATTACAAGACTAGCACCAGAGGTATATGGCTACTACAAGTCTAGCACCAGAGGAATATTGGTACTACAAGATTAGCACCAGAGGGATATTGGGATTACAAGACTAGCACCAGAGGTATATGGCTACTACAAGACTAGCACCAGAGGTATATTGGTACTATAAGACAAGCACCAGATGTATATTGGTACTACAAGACTAGCACCAGAGTTATATTGGTACTACAAGACTAGCACCAAAGGAATATGTGTACTGCAAGACTAGCACCAGATGTATATGTGTACTACAAGACAAGCACCAGATGTATATTGGTACTACAAGACTAGCCCCAGGGGTATATTGGTACTACAAGACAAGCACCAGAGGCATATTGGTACTACAAGACAAGCACCAGAGGTATATTGGTATTACAACAGAAGCACCAGGGGTATATTGGTACTACAAGGCTAGCACCAGAGGTTTATTGGTACTACAAGACTAGCACCAGAGGTATATTATGGTACTACAAGACAAGCACCAGAGGTATATTGGTACTACAACACAAGCACCAGGGGTATATTGGTACTGCAAGACAAGCACCAGATGTATATTGGTTCTACAAGACAAGCACCAGAGGTATATTGGTACTACAACACAAGCACCAGGGGAATATTGGTACTGCAAGACAAGCACCAGATGTATATTGGTTCTACAAGACAAGCACCAGAGGTATATTGGTACTACAAGACTAGCACCAGAGATATATTGGTACTACAAGACAAGCACCAGAGGTATATTGGTACTACAACAGAAGCACCAGGGGTATATTGGTACTACAAGACTAGCACCAGAGGTATATTGGTACTACAAGACAAGCACCAGAGGTATATTGGTACTACAAGACTAGCACCAGATGTATATTGGTACTACAACACACGCACCAGATGTATATTGGTACTACAAGACAAGCTCCAGAGGTATATTGGCACTACAAGACAAGCACCTGAGGTATATTTGTACTTCAAGACAAGCACCAGAGGTATATTGGTACTACAACACAAGCACCAGGGGTATATTGGTACTACAAGACTGGCACCAGAGGTATATTGGTACTACAAGACTAGTACCAGAGGTATATTGGTACTACAAGACAAGCACCAGAGGTATATTGGTATCACAAGACAAGCACCAGAGTTATATTGGTACTACAAGACAAGCACCAGATGTATATTGGTACTACAAGACAAGCACCAGAGGTATATTGGCACTACAAGACAAGCACCTGAGGTATATTTGTACTACAAGACAAGCACCAGAGGTATATTGGTACTACAAGACTAGCACCAGAGGTATATTGGTACTACAAGACAAGCACCAGAGGTATATTGGAACTACAAGTCTAAAATGTGAGAGAAGATAGATTACTCTAGCCATGCCTAGTTTATCTTGGTATCCAAGGTATTTTGTGTTAAAGCAGCACATCAAAATATATTACATCTAATCCTAATAAGGCATGTCAACTGAGAGGACAATCTCTCATTAATCAATATTTTATCTCCGAAGGAAGACGAGACAAGGGTGGTTTACCAAATCCCATTAACAACTGCAACTTTACTTAAATTGGAGAAACTGACCAGAAATTTAGGACATGTCTAAAAGAACACCAGTAAGACATTGAAGCCATGAAACAGCAAGTCTTCACTAGGCTACAAGGAAGACATTGGAGAGACAATACAATACATCGGCCATTACAGACCATGCTACACTACCAGTTCGTAGACTGGAACATCTCTAAATTGCTTGAAAGACGAGATAACTTGAAAGTGAGGAAATCTAAGAATCCATCTGGAATAGAGAAGAGGGAGTCACCAGCTGAGTTCTCTTCATGACCCTATTTTAACATCCACTAAAGGACAGAATGGGTAAACACATTAGTACATTACCCGTCCAACTGCCTCTAGTTTTCTGTTGATTATAGTACTCTATATATAGTATTAGAGTTTTATTTGGCAAAATGTCTCAATATTTTTTACTTTGCTGACTCGGCGCATTGTGGCTTAGTTAGTTGTTTTCAGTGGTTTAGAGTCCAGATACCGGCCATTTGCAAACTTTGCTAGACAGACATTTCTGAAAGCTCTCAAAATAAGTTTTCAATAACTGTTTGTGTTCAAAACAAACATAGCATTTACTATTCATTCCAAAATTATCAATCTCATTCCTAATATTTAATCTCGTTTTTACGGGATCAAAACAATTGAAGTAAAACAGAAATAATTACTGCATAACAAAATAAGATCCAGTAAACAGAATAACAACTTTATTACAATATTTAAAACAGATTTTACTGCACAAGGCAATCTTTATTATCCTAGTGAGACTACCATGTATAGAAATAACAGATCTGCATTGATAAGTACAGGAGTGTCCATAAATATTTATTTGTAATCATAAGAGATGTATTTCCAGTGATTAATCATCGATTATGTCATCAAATCTGGGAAATGTTGTAACTTCAGCTGGGAAATGTTGTAACTTCAGCTGGGAAATGTTGTAACTTCAGCACACCGTATAGAACCACTGTATTACATGAGATGTAAACATCAACGCTTGTTCAATACAAATATGTATAATGTAGCACGTATATCTGTAAAATTAACATAAACTGTGATTAATATCTCACACCTGGCTGTGGATCCTACTCGTCAGTCTATAGGTCTTTATTATTCACTATCTTTACTAGTCAAAGGTAGCTGATCACATCACCATCACCAGTGACCATTTTGAGCTGATCATCGCTCTCTTTGCTATTGGACAAGGTTGGATTCTCAGTGACATTGTACTGTCCTCATCTGCAGAAGCCAGGGTACAAAATGAAGGAAAATCAAGACAAGCTATCACACTTTATATTGAGTTAGGTACTTCCATTTGAAACCGCCACATATTACTTCTTCCTGTTGTTCCCAAGGATCATAGCCAGGCGGATAAAGATATTGATGGTATCAAGGTAGATTCCAATTGACCTGAAACATAACATGTACATTACAATAGACCTGTAACATAACACGTACATTACAATAGACCTGTACCATAACATGTACATTACAATAGACCTGTAGCATAACATGTACATTACAATAGACCTGTCACATAACACGTACATTACAATAGACATGTTACATAACATGTACATTACAATAGACCGGTAAAATACCACCTACATTACAACAGACCTGTAACATACCATGTACATTACAATAGACCTGTAACAACAAGTACATTACAATAGACCTGTACCATAACATGTACATTACAATAGACCGGTAAAATACCACCTACATTACAACAGACCTGTAACATAACATATACATTACAATAGACATGTAACATAACATGTACATTACAATGGACCTGTAACATAACATGTACTTTACAATAGACCTGTAACATAACATAAGGGGTTCACATATTTTTCTATAGTTTAAATACCTCAACGTGCATATCAGCTCTTATTTCTTTCTTTTCTTTCAATGTTTGGTCAATACCAACCAACAATTCATAGATATACCAAAGTAAAATATTACACTGTCTTTCTGTACCTGTAGTTTCAACGTCTGAAGTGTAAGCAGATATGTTTCTAAATAGGAGAGATCTAACTGCAGATGTTTAACCCGCTTTATACTTTTACATTAAAATGCCACAGTACTTACTGGTTGACTGGATCATAAGGAACGGGCGAGTAGGATGGGTGGTGCTCAGCATTTTTGATGATTTTTTGTGTATCATAAAGCAAGAACATTCCAAAAAGGACCATCACATAACACGTACATTACAATAGACATGTAACAAAACATGTACATTACAATAGCTATATAGACCAGTAACATAACATGTACATTACAATAGGCCTGTAACATAACATATACATTACAATAGACATGTGACATAACATGTACATTACAATAGACCGGTAAAATACCACCTACATTACAACAGACCTGTAACATAACGTGTACATTACAATAGACCTGTAACATGACATGTACATTACAATAGACCTGTAGCATAACATGTACATTACAATAGACCGGTAAAATACCACCTACATTACAACAGACCTGTAACATAACATGTGCATTACAATAGACCTGTAACATAACCCGTACATTACAATAGACCGGTAACATAACACGTACATTACAACAGACCTGTAACATAACGTGTACATTACAATAGACCTGTAACATACCATGTACATTACAATAGGCCTGTAACATAACATATACATTACAATAAACATGTAACATAACATGTACATTACAACAGCCTCTAACATAACATGTACATTACAATAGTCCTGTAACATAACATGTACATTACAAGAGACCTGTAACATAACATGTACATTACAAGAGACCTGTAACATAACATGTACATTCCAATAGACCTGTAACAACACGTACATTCCAATAGACCTGTAACATAACATGTACTTTACAATAGACCTGTAACATAACATGTGCTTTACAATAGACCTGTAACATAACACGTACATTACAACAGACCTGTAACATAACATGCACATTACAATAGACCTGTAACATAACCCGTACATTACAATAGACCGGTAACATAACACGTACATTACAACAGCCCTGTAACATAACATGTACATTACAATAGACCTGTAACATAACATATACATTACAATAGACATGTAACATAACATGTACATTACAATAGACCTGTAACATAACATGTACATTTCAATAGAACTGTAACATAACATGTACATTACAATAGACCTGTAACATAACATAAGGGGTTCACATATTTTTCTATAGTTTAAATACCTCAACGTGCATATCAGCTCTTATTTCTTTCTTTTCTTTCAATGTTTGGTCAATACCAACCAACAATTCATAGATATACCAAAGTAAAATATTACACTGTCTTTCTGTACCTGTAGTTTCAACGTCTGAAGTGTAAGCAGATATGTTTCTAAACAGGAGAGATCTAACTGCAGATGTTTAACCCGCTTTATACTTTTACATTAAAATGCCACAGTACTTACTGGTTGACTGGATCATAAGGAACGGGCGAGTAGGATGGGTGGTGCTCAGCATTTTTGATGATTTTTTGTGTATCATAAAGCAAGAACATTCCAAAAAGGACCACCCCTCCATACACACTGATGGAGTACAGCCCTGCCCCCAGGGCAGTGGCAGGGGGAAAAAACATGGTACCTTAACAACAGAAACACCACATAAAACTCTCGTCAACATGAGTAAATGTTCATTTAAAAAAAAAAAAAACCCATTAATATAATGTTATCCTCAAAATGTTCATAAGATATCATCAGTTTGGCATTTTTTTATACGGAATACATGCCTGTTTTTATGTCTTACCCAAAATATCTTTAGTAAACTTTTGATTTTGGGTGAAAAGGTAAGTCCAAAAAAGCAGTTCAGTCACCGTTAAGTCCCCAAATGAACCCAAACGTGAAATTTTAGCAGGCAAGCACACATATTGAATCAATGAAGAACATGAAGAATGGACGAGTTCCACTACATTAATTCTCACATTAACATACAGTTTATTCTTCTGTAAGAATATTCTTACCAAGCGAGGAGACGATCACCATTCCCAGCCCAATGGTCAGAGGGGCACCCATGTTGAGGAACTTTTCACTAGGTGCACACATTGCAAGTGTAGATAGACCTGCCGAAAAAAGTATTGTTCAGCATACTTTAAAAGGAATGCTTTGGTATAATTTTAGTTCCCATTTTTTGTAGTTTATTCAAATTTTGTAACACTACGAGTCCAGACGATCTTATTGATATTTCTGACTACAGCAGGCAACATTAGTCCCGACAATCTGGAAATCTGAATGTAACACTGCTAAGTCGGTAGCATACAAAATAACTTTATATCAATCAAAGTTTGATTTTCTATTTGATGCATTTGGGTGTTTTGTTTTGCCTCCTGTGTAGATAATTAAAGCATAAATAAGGAAACGAATCCCTGAAGGCCACTAAATGGCTTCCAGATGAGTATCAATATACCCATTCATGCCCAGTGGTATCTGAGTTACACAACACAATCCCACCACATTCTAGATCTGCTATTATCTGATAAGTAGTGTATGTTGTATAAAGATTGCAAAACTATACAAAACATGATAAAAATGTCGTTTCTATTTAGCAGATGTATCAGCATAATAACAAGATGTATAGTTGACTCACTATCATGTATTATCAACTTTAAAAAATGTCATTTCTATAATCTATTCAGTAAATACATAAAACTACTAATTACTGTCAAATTTGTTTTATAATGATATTGTTTTGGTATGTATCTTTGTCATGCTTAATTCAATGCAAAACTTCATGCCAATATCTTGCTAAGTTTTATATTACTAAATATAGACTTTGTAAAAATAAATCTAGCTGGCATTTTTCTTTCCCTCAGATTAGGGTAAAACTTGATAAATATTAGTAAAAAGACACTATACTGTGATGTAGTCAAACACCTCACGCTTTCAAACCTAACCCACTTTGTGTTCTGAAGTCATCACATGTATGTCTTCAAGTTCAGCGATAAAGAACCCATTGATAATGCTGTACAACCGTAAAAGGAATACCTGTGTATGCTGTAAACATTCACATTTTAGTGGTTATCTTATTTCAGCATTTTTTTCACTGAAATATTATGCTAAATTCTAATAACACTAAATAAAGTTTCTGTTCATCGTTTCCTGTACAAATGTTTGACTGCATAAAAATAAGAATATTTACAGTATAAATTTGGCACTAAAATAAGTATTTTTACAGTATAAATATGGCACTAAAATAAGTATGTTTACAATATAAATATGGCACTAAAATAAGTATGTTTACAGTATAAATATGGCACTAAAAAAAGGATGTTTACAGTATAAATATGGCACTAAAATAAGTATGTTTACAGTTTATATATTGCACTAAAATAAGTATGTTTACAGTTTATATATTGTGTTAAATAAATAGAGGTTACACAGCGTATTGTGGTAGAAGTATGTTTACAGTTCATATAGATTGCTAAAAAATGTATGTTTACAGTATATACATATTGTACTAAAATAAGTATGTTTACAGTATATATATTTATATCATTAAAATAAGTATATTTACAATTTATATATTGCACTAAAATAAGTATGTTTACAGTTTATATATTGCACTAAAATAAGTATGTTTACAGTTTATATATAGCACTAAAAAAAGTATGTTTACAGTTTATATATTGCACTAAAAAAAGTATGTTTACAGTATAAATATGGCGCTAAAATAAGTATGTTTAAAGTATCTATATTGCATTAAAATAAGTATGTTTACAGTTTATATATGGCACTAAAATAAGTATGTTTACAGTATAAATATGGCACTGAAATAAGTATGTTTACAGTATTTATATATTGCACTAAAATAAGTATGTTTACAGTATTTATATATTGCATTAAAATAAGTATGTTTACAGTTTATATATGGCACTAAAATAAGTATGTTTACAGTTTATATATTGCACTAAAAAAGTATGTTTACAGTTAATATATTGCACTAAAATAAGTATGTTTACAGTTTATATATTGCACTAAAAAAAGTATGTTTACAGTTTATATATTGCACTAAAATAAGTATGTTTACAATATATATATTGTGCTAAAATAAGTATGTTTACAGTTTATATTTTGCACTAAAATAAGTATGTTTACAGTTTATATATTGCACTAAAAGGTATGTTTACAGTTAATATATTGCACTAAAATAAGTAGGTTTACAGTTAAATATAGTGCTTAAATAAGTATGTTTAAAGGATCTATATTGCACTAAAATAAGTATGTTTACAGTTTATATATTCCGTCTTTGCGTATTGCAGAGTTATCTTCTCCTGTGAGCAGGTATTGATTGTTACGTCATTGGTTTGTGTGAGAAATTACGTCGTTTTCTGAAAAACTGATGTTGTAACTCTCAAAAACAAATGAAAAATCAATACCTGCTCACAAGGGCAGATAACTCTACAATACGAAAAGAGGGAATAGTGCTAGAATAAGTATGTTTACAGTATATATATTATCAACATTAGCGTTTATTTTGGGTTTGAATTGATGTATATACCTCCCACCACTCCAGCAGTGTACCATGCCGCCCTCATCAGGAGTGGCCCACCCATCAATGATATAGGGGCAATCACCATCCCTATCACACCACTATGTAGCATCCATGCTAGCTGTTTGGCTCCGAGACCCTCCTTATAGGGGATGGAACGACACAGCATTCCTGTGCCTATCATTGCAGCAAAGGAGGCACCAATTGCCTGGAATCAGAAACTTTCAGATTAGCATATTATTATTGATTCAATCATCATTCATGTGTAATGTTGCAATACTTCTCACATAAATCTTCACAAGTATCAGACACAATCTCAAAGACATATAAACATAGCCACCTTGTACCTGGGTGGTTTCGTATCAACAAGGTCACCAGGTAAAACTCTGTGTCACTCATCATTCAAAATGTATAGCCAGGTAAAACTCCCAGTCACTCATCATTCAAAATGTATAGCCAGGTAAAACTCCCAATCACTCATCATTCAAAATGTATAGCCAGGTAAAACTCTGTGTCACTCATCATTCAAAATGTATAGCCAGGTAAAAACTCCATATCACTAATTGAAATGTATAGCCAGGTAAAAACTCCATATCACTAATTGAAATGTACAGCCAGGGAAAACTCCCAGTAACTTATTAAATTGTATAGCTAGGGAAAACTCCCAGTCACTCATCAAAATATTAAGCCATGGAAAACTCCCAGTAACTCATCGAAATGTCTAGCCAGGGAAAACTCCCAGTCACTCATTGAAGTGTATAGTCAGGGAAAACTCCCAGTAACTCATCAAAATATATAACCAGGGAAAACTCCCAGTAACTCATCAAAATATATAACCAGGGAAAACTCCCAGTCACTCATCAAAATATTAAGCCAGGGAAAACTCCCAGTAACTCATCAAAATATATAACCAGGGAAAACTCCCAGTAACTCATCAAAATATATAACCAGGAAAAACTCCCAGTCACTCATCAAAATATATAACCAGGAAAAACTACCAGTCACTCATCAAAATATATAACCAGGAAAAACTTCCAGTCACTCATCAAAATGCTATCTCCCTGTTACAGTACCTAGAAGTCAGACTCTTTTCCTGACAGTCACTAATTTACAGATCAGAAATTGAATTTCTACAATATATTTTATTTCATACAAGTCTCCCAATTACTTTTGCATCACTCTGTGAAATTTACATATCAATAAATCTGGCCACATTTAAGATTTCTGTGAACATAAGCCCACAACAAGTCAAATGATTGTTAAATCACATGATTGTATACACCATGCGCAAACTATGTACACATTATGTATGTGCAGCATTTTCAGTGCATTGTGTGGTCACATATACCTGTAGTATCAATTCAAATTAATTATTTAATCATATATTACAATCACACAATCAATAATTACAGAAAATGGAGGAAGAAACAAAGGTCTAAGACATTTATGAACATGTTGCCTAAGATGTTGTATACGACATACCAGCCAGGAATTTTTCATCGCCAGGTTCATGAGGGCAGGTGTTCGTACCACCGCCATGGCCGACATTGCTGTCAGTGCCACGCTACCACCAAAGTACATATAGGTGGCCCTGATACGTTGTCTCACCTCTTGGGACCACAGCCTACAATAAACAACGGTGTATCAAAACTGCAATAAATAAAAAAAATAAAAATACTGTACATTACCGTTTAGGAAAAATAACAATTCTTTTGATTAAAATTGATAAGTTCTACCTTTGAAAGATAATCTGAGCGAATCAGTCTACCTTTCAAATCACATTTTCTTTATTCTTTTCATTATACGTGATGAAACAGCAAATAATGTAGAATCATTCACAGCTGTCATTAATATGACCAGTGACAAGTGTTTTACAACTTAAATTCATACAAAAATTGTACATGTATAATTCTCCGCAAAATGGTGCTGTCAGGATTTCTTTTTAACCTGTTTACTAAATTTCTTACATATTGAATTGTTAAACTTGTGTTACAAGGTTCAAGTAAAATGGAGGAAACCGAAAAAGGTCAAAACTAATGTGATATTTAAACACAGTGGTACATTATACAATTTTAATCACACACACCAAATCTCTCAAACTGAAAACAGTGGGACTAGTTGCTCTCATAAGCTTATAGATATACGGACATCATACTACATTGAATCAGGGTGATAACATAAAACACATCACTCCAGGCGAAAACGTAACGAAGAGGTAAATTTCAGAGCATCCTATTTCTAGTCCTGTGTACTTTGATTACTTACAGGGCTCTGTCAACAGCTCCAGCTTCATTTGACAAGCCCAGTCCATAGAAGCACAGTGCTCCAATTCCCACGGCTGATGAGCCTGCTGCCACAGCATTTCCAATCTGAAATGCTACAAAAGCAACAATTTGAAAACACTGAAAATACTGGAAGTCTATACTCTAAAAGAAATATATAGATTACAACAAATTGGTATCCTTGGTCAGAAATCAACAAAGTCCTTCCAGATTGACGCACTCTTCCCCCAACAGGAAATTTAAGATATGGACTTCTACCCGAAAGATGCACATAATTCAATTTGTGCTTATATACATGTATTAAATAAGGATATGGTTGGATTCAAATTGTTATTGTTATTGTTTAATGGCCCATCAACAATCTGAGTCATTTAGGGCCAATGGACTTCAAATACATGAGGCCCAAGAGGGCCTGATTCGCTCACCTGAATATTTAAGCAGTCATAGCAAAATATTCTCATTAAAATATCATATTGCACTAAAAATATTTCCCTCGCAAACTTTGTTGGCTCTATCTGTTGAAACTATCAGCAAAATATTATTATAAGATTCTATGCTTTTTGATTCTTCTTCAGAATTTGCTTGACATATTTCCTGTGACCTTGTAAGTAGGTCCATGTCATTTTCCTTCTCAAATTGGTTAGCTCTATTCCAAAAAGCTACCAGCCAAATCTTATGAATCCATTTCTTTTAGTTCTTAAGAACTAATCCTTTAAAATGTTGTTGACCTCTGTGACCTCTAAAGTAGGTTGAGGTCATTTTCATTCTCAAACTTTGGTGAGCTCTATCCCAGGAAGTCACCAGCCAAATATTATAATTTTATGCCTTTTAATTCTTCAGAAGAAGTAGTTTGAACTGTTTGACATATTTGAACGCTGTGACCTTGAAAATAA